AAAAAAAAATTCACCTAGGTATCTTCCCAAAAGCATAAAAGATGTTATAGTGCTATGTCTCTATCCATTTTCTTTTCTTTGTCTTTTTGAGACAGGGTCTCACTGTGCAGTTCAGGCTGGCCTTGAGCTCACTTGATAGCCCAGACAGATCTCAAACTCACAGTGATCCTCCTGCCTCAGCCTCCTGAGTGCTGGCATTATGGGCATGCGCCACCATACCTGCCCAGCTCTCTGTATCCATATTTATAGCTACACAACTCAATAGCTCAACCCTTGGAAGCAACCTGTGTGTCCATCAACATAGACGGATAAAGAGAATGTATACATAGTGCAGCACTCATCTGTATAAAGAAGGATAAATTTGATCCAGGTGTGATGGCACACTCCTGTAATCCCATTTCTTAGGAGGCTGAGGCAGGATGATCCCCAAAGCCCAAGGCCAGCTTACACTACAAAGTGTAAGACCAGCCTGAAGTACACACTACGATACTGTCTCAAAAAAAATCTCCAAGCAGGGGACATAGCTCAGCAGTACAGTGCCTGCCTGTCTAGCTCTAGATCATGAGTTCGATTCCCAGTATCAAAAAAAAAAAAATTCTCCAAAAATAAAGCCGCTGATCGTCCGAGCTGCTCCTGGTGTTGCTCTGGGCCCACTGAGTGCAGACCTGGTGTCTCTTTTGTGAAGCAGCAACTGAGGACAGCTGGGCTGTGGCTCTGCTGTAGAAAAGCCGAGGAAGGGGTTGGTACTGAGATGATTACCCTGCGTAGCGGCACACACCTGTAACCCAGCACTCAGGAGGCTGCGGAAGGGGGATCACCGTGAGTTCAAGGCCAGCCTGGGCTACACAGCAAGATCCTGTCTCCAAAAACAAAACCCCAGGGCTGGGGATTTAGCTCAGTGGCACAGCGCCTGCCTGGCAATCTCAAGGTCATGAGTTCAATTCCCGGTACCAGGGGAAAAAAAAACCCCAAAGCCGTTTGCAGTGCGTGCATTTTACAATCCTCTTGGGCAGTTGGTGCATAGTGATACCTTTTTACGTTGAAACTCAAATAACTTAGATAAAAGTGTCCAACACATGAGTGCTCAGTGCCTGCTCCTTCTCATTTCCTTCCCATGTGCACTACCCCCCCAGATGACAGTGCTTGTGTGTGAGCTTTCAAAGAGGGCATGGTAGCTCCGAGGGGCGCTCAGTGATCTTTCCTGCTGCTGTTCAGCCCCTCAGACAGTCCCCTCTCGTGTCAGACAGGGCTGCGCTGTGCAACCAAAGACAACACCCGTGGAATTCTCAGGCTAGGCCACGAGGCTGTGGTTTCTGTCGTCCCCTCTTGGATCACTGCTCTTGAGGCTGCGGCTGCCATGTTGTAAGGGTGCTTACACAGCCCTGAGAGGAGTCCATGTGGTCAGGAACCAAGGCCTGCTGTGGACAGCCTGTCCCAACAAACACGAGTCAGCCGTCTTGGAGGGTCCTCCAGCCTTCGACAAGCGCCCCCATGGCTTGACGGAAAGCTTATAGAGGACTGCGAGGCAGAACCACCTAGCAAGGCACTCCCAAGCTCCTG